GCATTTTCGAAATGAATGTTTTATTTTAAATCATATGGCTACGCATAAATTTAAAATTCAACATTTTATAAATTCTGAAATTATACACAATAAATTAATGTTTATGCTACATCATTTAACAACAACAAATATTTCACGCTCACAAATCAGCCCGCTGCCATGCGCATTGCACCGTTAAATTCTCTTTAACTTCAATACAGAAAAAAATTAACTAAAATATTAGTCTTTAATACGTATAAATCTTATGCATTTTTGAAATATAAAAGGAAACGAACTTGTTATTTATGTTGTAATAACATAAAACTATTTATCCTTCATTTTTGTATAACTCAATTTTTAAGCAAAGGATTCACTTAAATGTGCCTCATTTTTACACATGCGCGTTTTTGTAGAATTGTACATATGTATACTATATATATACAAATACATATGTGTTTTGGCAATAATTTCTTTTTTTGTTTCAAACTTATGTATTTTTCGTTTTTAAATGTTATTTAAATGTTTTTATTTTGTGTACTGCGTTATTGCTAACTTTATTGCCCTTCGTTTCTTTCTTAAAAAAACCAAAAAAAGTCGTATTAAACGCGTTAAGTTTAACTCGCAAAAAAGTATTTCTTTTCTAAATTGTTTAAAATAACGTGTAAATTATTTATTTTTGTCGTAAATTAATTTTTTTGTTGAAAACTTCGTCGGCGAACGTTTTCTAAGCATTCATTGAAATTCTCAGAGTTTACTTGTTTCATAGTTTTAATTTTTTTGACTTAATTTATTTTTAATATACATAATACATAATTTTTTTTAATGTAAATTCTGCTTAGCAAGCAAAAAGTAAATCGTCTAGTCTATCTGAAATTTTTAGTTTTTCTGTTTTCAATTAAAACATTGTTTCTTTTTTGTATTAAAATGAAATAAGCGTATTTTATATAAGCCATTGTTTTCTTTGACTAAATTGCACTCAACTTTTTAATAAAACAAATAAAAAATTAAAGAACAAAAAAAAAATAGTTTAATTTTTATATTTGGGGAGCCGATAGGTATATTGAAACTAGTTGTAGCGGCAGAATTATGCCGAGTAGACAGTCCTTGGTTGGATAAAAATCCCGTTCGGTTCCGACTACGTAGAGCCGACTGTCGTGGGAACATTATTATGGATTATTGATCGATCCACAGGCCATACGATAATTTAATTTATATTAAATTACTTCCCTAGTACATAGGTTTTAATATTGCAAAGAAACATTGTAAATTCCTGTTACTGTTTAGATTTTTAAATACTTTCAGCTCATTACTACTTTTATCTGGAAAAGCACAGGTATAAGATTTTCTGAGGTTAACCCACAAAATATTTCCAAACGGGTTAATAAAAAAAATTAATAAAAAAACAAATTAACGTATGATAATTACCACCAAAAGACAACTTTATGTGGAAGTTGAGGAACCTAATAGTGTACTGATATATTTTTTACATCAAATAGATTTTTCAGCATCGAGCATGACTTACGCAAAACATTTCTAATACGCTTCAGCATCGAGCATGACTTACGTAAAACATTTCTAGCGTATTAGAAATATTTTGCGTAAGTCATGCTCGATGCTGAAAAATCTTCAAAAGAGTTTCAATCCCCTTATATTGCCATTATGCAACGCCTCTTATACCTGGCAACATTTTAAGTTTCTTTCAACATTTTTAACTTCTAGCAACATATGCAATATTTCTAAATTTCATTTTACCACTATCTTCGTATTTTATGCCTTGTGTCATCTTCGTTAAGCGGTGTCAAAAAAATCACGAATAAACGTCAAAAACATTTTAAACAAAGTTTCACCTCTTGCTGCATGAATCAAAGGAAAATTAGGCCAGAAACGTAAATTACATACAAAAGTCCACAAAAATTTAGAGGAAAAATACCGCTGACGTGTTTTTTATTCTGGAAACGTGTAAAAACAAGCATTGGCGAAAATTCATTTACATCATTGTGGTTCTTCATACGTCAGTACCTTCGTTCGTAGTCCCAATACGATAGGGTATTTGGCAGGTTTGAACAGGAATTGTTCATCAAGAGACGGTGCGGTGCGGGGCGTTTGGCTTGGTAACAACAAGTGCGTTTGGATTTGTCGCAACGGCGCCAATTAGAATGGACGCCAAAAATGACGATTCGGCTGGCAGTGATTCGCTGGATAAGTCTTTACAGAAGAAATGTGTAGTAGATGATGTTGGACAAGGTGAGGGTTCAACAGCGAATACCGCGCTGCCAGCGCAAGGCATTAGCGACAGAAATGATAAACAAAAATCGGATACTGAAGCTGAAAATCGACCTGCAATTTCCCTTAATTCCCAAAACAAGACTGAGAAAAGTGCAGGCGACGGCGTATGCGATAGTCTCGAGGAGAATAGCAGTCTCATTGATGATAAATTTGATAAAAGAATTCACATCGCTGAAATTACAAATGATACAAACACCGCACAAGTGTTTGATGCGCACGAAACTGTTAATATTGCTAATATAAACTCGGATATGGCAGAAAGTAATACGTCCGTAATCAGCAATGAAAAAATAGCCATTTCCAACAATACAGTAAACGATGCTGCCGAAGCGCCTAGTGAATACAGCTCCAATAGCAGCAGTAATTGTAGCAGCAACAGCAACAATAGTAATGCCTTTGAAACAAAAGTTAAGCAGATCTCCAAGAACCTCAAGGAAACAACTCTAGCTGAATGTGCGAATAAGAAAGCATTAGCAGACGACACCAATTCCACCTCGTCCGCATCTTCGGCTTCATCAGCTTCGTCTTCGCCGGAGTGTGAACAGGCGTCCGTCGATGAAGCGACGGCGGCTTTATATTCGTTAGGTCCTAGTACTAGCGCGGCGGCGGCGGCGGCAGCAGCTGCGGCGTCAGTTTCCGGTGGCAGTGCACAAGACGAAAATGATCATCGTTCAAAAAAAGTGCGGTTTCATCCAGATGTTAAGGAAAATGATGGTGGAAACAGAGTGATTCCGAAAAAGAAGAAAAAACTGAAAGCAAGTCAGGCTGGAAGTAGCAGCTCTGGCGGCAGCGGCGGTGCCGGTGGTGGAGATGATTCTTCAGGTAGTAGTCAGCGAGGTCCTTCAGCTGAAGATGAAATGGAATTAGATGAGGAAGATGATTTGGAAGACGAAGGTACTTTCAGTATAGCTAAAACGATAGAGGATGCGCAGGATTACTTAAAGGAGCATCCGTTAACATTTGCTGGTTCCTTCGATAAAAGTAATGTCACTACTCAAAGCGGCCTCTTAGAAGAAGAAGATTTACCACAAGTTGTAGAAACATCAGAAGATGACGAAGAAGAATTTTGTATACAAGAGTTCCCTGAGAATGGTGTTGCGTGCATTTTAGGCAAACAAAATAAATGTGGAAAGGTGACAATAATTTTCAATAATTTATTTAAAATTTTAATAATTTTTTAAATTTTATTAGGTGGAGTTCCTGCTTCGTTATGTGGATCGACCTGGCTTATTTTGGGAAACGGAAGAATTCATCAGTTTGCGATGTCCCAATTTGCTGCATCAGTATGAGCAATGTCGTGAACGACGCCAGACGCGTTTAGTGAGTTGTAAAAAAGAAATTGAGTGCAAACAGTTTATATTTAAATCAATAATTTTTGAATTAGATGAACTTTGTGGCGAAGCGTCAAAACCTCCGGCAGCGGTACACAGACTTCTAGGAACAAATGTGTTCATGTTGAGAATGACTTAACTACTGGAACTACAACAATATTTCGCTTTATAGAGTTTGCGGTGCAGTAATGCTACTCACGAAAAATATAAATCTACAAAATCAACACAATACAAAAGTATGAAATTAAAAACAAAAAATTGCTGCTTATTAGAATGGCAATATGTACAGTAAATTTCAACATGCTCTATAAGAGCAATGAGTAGACCAGAAAATCCAATAAGTACTGTAAAAATGCTACAATTCCGTAGCAATTATCCTTCCCCGATTTTCAATTGAGAAATTTATACGACAAATGCTTTTTTATAGTACCACATAACTTTAGTTCACAAATTCTGTAATCATGTGCAACAGATGGTGGAAATAACCGCATAGCACCCAGAAAGAGTGAATGGAAGAAATGTTAGTTAAACTTGTGTATGTAAAGAATTTTTCAACAAATGTACTCATTTAATGAAAGGGAAATGTAAAAATTCAAAATGAAATATTAGAAAGGGGATATAAAAAATCAACAAGAAAAGCACATTGATGAAAAAATAATAAATTTGATGATAGTACGATAATTAATTATATAATAAACTATAAGCAAAAGTCTAATACAAGTTGTGTATATAATTTTTTACATATTTTCAGAAAAGAGGCATTTATTTAAATTTTATGTTGAAAATGGAGACCAAGAGATATACTAATTTACTTTCATTCGACACATACTTCGTTTTTTCTGCAATGCGATATAACTGTTTCTATATTAAATGTTACGTTATTTCAATTATTAATATCACAAAGGCGGTTTTAGAAGCCTCATATTGCAACAACGACCCCCTTCGAAATAATTACGACTTACGCCTGAATGTGGCATGCACTGTTGCAATTTCATTTTCGTATATTTCATTTTTATACCCACATGAATTAATTTCTTTATCAATGTAATCTTTTTCTATTATTACGCCCAGGTTTTATTTTCAAAGGTAATTAAAATGTTTTATATATATAAATAATTTCAAAAAATTAAAGCAAATATATAACAAAAAATTCTGACTTCAATAACATCACCGATATGTTTCCATCGGTCATTAACGCTAATTATACCATAAATGAACACTGAGTAAAAATAATTTTTATTACTATTTTGCTTGAATTTCATTTCATTTAAACAGATTATAAATTTTATTTATATTTATAAATATTTCTTTCGGTTATTTACGACTAATATTTGTACTTTTCCAACACTGCGAATAAGTCGCAATGCAACCCTGAATTTTAGAGCGTTGCCTTCCATAACGTTTTTGCGCTTCATTTTCCACGCCGAATTCGTTTCTTCTTCTAAACACTTCAACTTTTGCTGGTGTGCAAATATTTGTTTGACGATAAAGTTAATTTTAGGTGAAAATATTTTAAACATTTTAGCCACACAACAATTGTGAGTAAAACCCTGTGTATAAATGAATATTTTGAGTGTTTCTAATCTAGTGATATAATTTCTTATATATTGCGTGGAAATGAATATATTTAACGGCGTTGCTGTACCGATTTCGTACTAATATGCATTTTTACAATTGAATACGACGTATTCGAATTCGCTATCTTTGGTTGTTTACAAATAGGAAGTAAAAATAATATTTCTTCAATTTATATCGGCATTATTCTGAAAAGTACAAAATCTAACCAGTCAAATATGAAATCAAAGAAATCTGAATCAACGGCTGCCACAGACGCTGCTGCCGAGTCATCAGAAGAAGAGGAGTATGCAGTCGAAAAAATTTGTGGGCGCCGCGTGCGTAAAGGAAAGGTTAGTAGTTTATCATACCCACATCAACATAAGTTATTTACTTTTATGTACGTACATATATCAAAAATATTAAGACTAAAAATGCTTTGAAAATATTTTAGGTTGAATATTTCCTTAAATGGAAAGGTTATCCTGAAGAAGAAAATACATGGGAACCTGTAGAAAATTTGGATTGCCAAGATTTAATACAACAGTACGAAGCAGATCGCGCGAAAGAAGAGGTAAGATTTTTATGAATTCATTTTAATGTGTAATTGTTTGAAGATGATTAATTTTGATTTTGGCGGGAAGTGTGTGTATTTGCCGCTTAAAGTTATATAAATGACTAATCCGAGTTTATTTTAAGCAGTCGATAGTAAAATTTAGCTTTATCATATGTCATACTGTTTATTTTACGAATCGGCACGTAATTTCATCACATTAGTAATCTAGTTTTTTTTGTCATGCTTCTTGTCACAAAATTTTTATGGTTTTACGGGAGTGTCAATATTCAAATATATTATTGTGTTAGTAACACACGGAAGGAAAGCTTATAAAAATATATATTTGTGAATGATAAGCTTAACGAGCAAAGACGTTTTAATACAATATAAACGAACTAGTTACCTAGGTTTTTGAGATATCGATCAGAAATTTCTCTCTTGCTCTTTTTCCCTCTATGAACATACAAACCGACCGATCCAAATCAAGTCCTTATTTTGGTGAAGGGTATTATAGTTTCGGTATAACCTAATTTGGTGTTTTTTGTAGTTTTTTTTTTCGTTTTTAGAATAGTTGGATATATTTATAGCAAACATAATTTTGTTTTGTTTTCAATAAGAAATATATGTATATTTAATGTAATTATAACATAGTAAAAGGTGTAATTTATCATTAATTCACTATACAGCCTGCAGCTTCCAGCAAGCAATCAGAAAAAAAGGAATCATCCAGTAAAAAGGAAGCCAGTAGCAGTGGTCGCACCAGTGCAGCCGGCAATAAGCGCAAGTCTGAAGAGAAAACGTCCGGTAAGTCCTTGTATACCATTTATGGATTGAATTTTTAAATAATTGTCTTTTCCTCCCCAGCAGGTAGCAAGAAGAAGCGCCGGGATTCATTAAAATCCGAAACGGACAATGAGTCAGTGTCCGACGTCTCATCACGTACCTCAGAACGGACTGGTTTCGATAGAGGTTTAGAAGCGGAAAAAATTCTCGGCGCCTCAGATTCCAGCGGCGGCTTGACGTTCCTTATTCAATTTAAGGGTGTCGATCAAGCTGAAATGGTGCCGGCAGCTATTGCTAATGTTAAGATTCCACAAATGGTAATAAAGTTCTACGAAGAACGCCTTTCTTGGTATTCGGACAATGAGGAATAAACTTAATTGTATTAGTTGATGAATTAACATCTATATATAAACAATTATTACACACACAAATATAATGTATAAATATACGATTTTTCCTGCAAATCCTTCTCATGGTAATTCGGCATTCAAATAGTAACACTTAATTTTAAATTTATATATGAATAAGGTTATTTCTATGTTTTAAATGAAGACCATCGTATCACATAATTTCAATTTCAAGTTCTCACTGTTCTATTCGTTAGTAAGATTGATTTGTTAAATTTAAACAAAAATCCGTGCGCTGCTGTGGGAAATATGTTTAAATAAAAATCAAAAATTTACAAAAAAAAAGTTACAACTTTGTTTCGTAATTAAGATTTATCAGATTTGAGTACATAGTACACGTAATCGGTAGAGACGGTTATGATTTTGGGTGATGGTTATTTTTGTATCCACTCAGGACTTCAAATAGTCTTTGTGTTGTACATAGGATAAATTTTTTGGAAAGTAAACATTTTAAAATTGTTGAAAAATATTGAATTTCATTCAGATTACAGAATTTTTACTGCCAAAAAATTAGCTAAAAATTTTGGCGAATTTCGGTACCTGATAACACGACCAAACCCTAATGCACACATTCAGCGGCAAATTCGAAGAATCGTAAAAGCAACTTACTTGTCGGCTGTAAATCTCAGCAAGCACCTAAAAATGTGCAAAGTAATTTCTTGACACACCAATTGTATTTTTTTTTTTTTTGCTTTTGCAGATGCCTTTATGCTTGTGTTTGTACTTATGCTATGCTTGAACCAGAGAATGTAAAGCATTTATGCATTTTTGCTTTACATTCTCTGCTTGAACGGTCGTTTTGTATATGTACATATTTTCATAGAGAAATGAGAAAAGATATATAAAACAGAGAATATACAGTTCTCAGAATGTACTCATAAAAATATATACATATGTATGTATTTACATACATATGTTCATATATTGTTCTCAAAATCAGACGATAAGCGAAAGCGTTCTACGTGACTCCACCGGAATCACATAAATGTGTGAAAAATCAGCAAACAGTCTTCCAAACGCTGCCTGGGGTAAATCCATTTAGGCTTTAGAGTCGAGTATGGTCAGCATATGTATGTATGTATTTATGGCATCTTGACTTCCATACAAATTCATTTAATGACAACTGCCAGCTGTTCGACGTATGTTTCACTAATTGAGAGTGCTGGTTGTATTTATTTTGCTGCTTTTAGAGATTCACATACAAACATACATATGTAGTATACATATGCACATAAAAATATCTACAGATTGTTATACTAGTTTTCGGCTGTTTCTTTGAGAATGTGAATCTTGGAGATCTGCGGCAAGTGTAGGTTTTTAAAAGCTTCATCTCTAAAGATAACAATAGTAAGAAGAACAAGCATTAATACAGACAAGCACCATTAAATATACTAAAAGTAAAATATCGGAAAAATTTATTTTTGCTTATTGCTAAAGAGTTTTGGAACTCTCAGGCGGACATGACCAATAAATTTGACAACAATGTCAAAGCGTTACCACGACAGTCTAAGTAACCGGAACGGGCACGAAATTATGCACTTCAGGAATGCTTTCTACCGCTACAGGAACAACAACAACTTCGATAAAAATTACGACAAGAAACAAAGCCTTTGAGAGCAGCGAATCGAACAAAAAGTTGGCATAAAGCATTTACTACAGGGTGTGTGCATCATATAGTATTTTTCTCAAAAATCCGAAAATCGAATTGAATTAGTCTTAAGAAGACATATACACCTGCATACATACTTATGTATGTATGTACTCAAGTATTTATGTTATATGTACATACATATGGGCGGGGTAGGCAAACGAGCACTTATGCGTCACAAGACCTACATACAAATATACATACTTATATATGCACATAGGTACTTATATATATATACATATGAGAGTATATATTCATTTAGTATATATAGCATGTGTTTATCTTAAGATCTTGAAATTTTAGTGGATATTCCATCATTATACTATATTCTGTTTTCATGTCTTTTGGGTCATTGCTTTATATAAATATAATTTTAAAAAAATTGTTTTTATTTTTGACTGACTTAAAAATTTCGTATTGCGATTTTTTAAATTGAAATGTTTATTTAAAGAGTTCTGTTTGCTTTAGAAACGTGTAGTTCATGAAAAAAATGACGATTGACTTCATTCATGTACAAATATAGATTCATAGGTAATTGTTTTAATTGTTGTTGTGATTACTTATGCTGGTAGATATACAAGTAATATGATTTTTAGGGTGTAATTGTCGACGTTATTCAAAATTAATATCAAAACCTATTATTTATGAACTATTTTGCTAAACAAACGAGGAAAATACTTTTCAAATTCCAAACCATGAGAGTTTCGGGAGAAATTGTTCGACAATATGTATGTGTTTATATGTGATATTACGAATCAAAGCCAACCGGCGAAGCCTAGAAACGAATGAAGTAACTCTAGTTGTCTCTCATAATGCCCGCTGTTGTCTCAGCGGCACAATTCTGCTGAGTTGACCGTCCTTGTTTGTATAATATAAAAAATCCGAGTCCGCTCCGGTTAAGTAGACTAGAATGTCGTGGGAATTCCCGTCCTGCTATACGAGTATGGTGCGCAGGCATGGACAATGACATTATCTTTATGACACTTTGCGCATTGGTAAAGGCGAGTACCGCAGTCGATGGAACGATGAGCTGTACAAGTTATACGGCGACACTGACATACATAGTTCAGCAAATCAAGAGACAGCGGCTGCGCTGGCTAGATCATGTTGTTCGGATGGAAAAGAAGCAGAGGAAGAGTAATACCTCTAATACGTTGGAGAGAATAGGTGAGGAAGAACCTGGCTGCACTTGGTATCTCGAATTTGAGCCAAATAGCGAAGCGAAGAAACCACTGGCGTGCTGCCAGTAAAGAAGAGAGCAGCCTTTAAGAGGCAAGTAATTTACGAAACGGTGCTTAAATGAAAACTTTGAAATCATAGATTCATGAAAATTATATACGAACTGATCAAATGTGACCCGGACTGACAAAAAAAAAATCATTATTAATGCTTTTACAATAGGCTCTTGAGTGAAAATACTTGGAATAAACCTTAGCTGGGATGGCCTTCAGTCGCTTCATTCCGAAAACATTAACCACAATATGTTGCATCGATACATAACTGATGTTGAGATTCTTTGCTTATTCGACGATTTTAAATCACAATTTCTTTAAGATTGTTAACTTTTTCTTGGTTTAGTTTAGTTTAGTTTAAAGAACCTATCCTAGTGAAATTGGCTAAGATGAAGACAGCAAAAACGATCAATATGTACTACGAAAAGATGTGTGTGGAGTGTTCGTTTATCTATTGATATCCAGGGTAGACTCAGCTTAAGGCTAATCGTTATACGGTACAAGTAGTGTTGTTTTTTGGAAATGTGTTTCTGACAGCTATTTAGGATTATGGACAGTCCTAATAGCTTTAAGAAATAATACTATGTACAAAAATATCTTGGACGTAAACAATCTTTGCATATATAGTACATATCTGGGTATATGTTCATTGTTATAAATAACGGAAAATTTTGCATAAATACTTGTCAAACAATGCTCGAAAGTAATATTTCGAAAATTTGAAGAGTTGAATTTATTATTTTTAAATTCCTTCAACAAATATTTTTAATTCATAATATGAAATATACTTACATACATACAATCTCTATAGAAATATATAGAAATACCTAACGGTAATTTCAATTATGGACATAGCATGGACATTTGTTGTGCAATAAATTTATTTATTTTTGTTTCTGCTCTTTAAAGACCAGGTGGTCCAAATGGACTATATTTGGAAGCAGACCTGGTTACATATCTAATCGCAAGTGATGCAGAACTGGACTATGTCGAAAGCTGAACATTGTCTTTTTTATTAATTATTGTCTATAAATAAATTTTTTAAAAAGAATGTCATTTCGTAACTTTCAAATCACATCACTTCGCGGTGTGAGCGTCACTCAAGCACTGGCCAGGCACGGCGCCTGCTTTTCCTATATAGAGCCATCTGCCTGCCCATCTGCCAGCCAGTTTCATCACAGCGACATGACTTCGCGCCGTGAGCGCCGCCTAAGCACTGGCCAGGCACGGCGCCTGCTTTTCCTATATAGAGCCAGCTTGCAGGCAGTTTCGCTTAAAGTCACCTTCTGACTTCCAAATCACCCCACATCGAGGAGCGAAATCTGCTAAGCACTGGCAGGGCACGGTGCTTGCTTTATTTATACAGATAGTCAGCATTTCCTGAAGCCACGGTTGTGATTAGCATACCAAAAACATAGTCTAATAATACTATAATAACTTATGGTCTAGAATAAATAGAGTACAAGTTGGACTGAACGAAATAGTTTGCTAGGACGTAATCCTATTTTATGCAGCGTTATACCAAAGGTGGACATGTCTGCTGATATATTTAGACCACTTCGGTCACTAGTGTTGCTTACAACGTTACTTAGTTTTGTTCTGTGGTCCTCTTTTTATCAGAATATTCTAAATTCTCAGATATACATGCAGGTATATATTCATATATTGTGTTGTGTGCAATTGCAAAAGCCAAAAATCGCATTGCGAATGCATAAATTGCTTTTAGCCGAGTGCAAGGTGCTGCTGCATATTCAAAATTCTATTAGAGCGTCAAATGCTTGGGTAAACATTTGGCGAAATCGACAATAGATCGATATGAACGCTGGCACGCCACCCAATCGGCGACAATTCCTGTTCAACTGCAAGTGTGTGTGTTTGACGGTGAGTTGGCCATCGGTGTGGCTTATTTATGCGCAACGCGGGCAGCGACACGCAGCCGCTTGCGATCGATAAATTACCTGCTAAGGCATAGAAAACTGAAAAAGTAAAAAAAAAAAAAAAACGAAAAAATTAACGCAAATGTGGCGACTGACACCGGACGTGCCCAAAAAATGTCGCACACAATCGTGTGCTTGGCAAGTGTAGTGGTAAAAAAAAAAATAAAATAAAAGTTTGACACTTTTTTGTACAATTTTAATATATTGCCTAGGTACTCTTTATTTTTTTAAATATTTTTTTTGCAAGAAAAAAAA